CACCTCTGTCTCCCTCTCTTTCTCAGATAAGAGTAAATGAAATGCGTCCTTTCACTCGTCCTATCTGGGCCAGGCCATGAAATACGCCCTGCTTTGTAAAGAGGTGCAGAGGAATGACTCGTGACCCACAAAACCCAGCAGATAACTATTTATTTACTTATCTGTGTGTTTACTGTTGCCATTAGACGTCCAGGCCCTCACTCTTCTTGGAGTGGGATACTATGAGGATTATGTGTTTAAATTTTATTTTCCAACTCTATACATCCAGCGATAGTGGACAAATGAAATACATTTATGTTCCATCAATTTGTTTATCGGTTGCTGCAGCTTTTCTCTCAAACTGAAAGGTTTCACTTCTCATTTTCTGTATTTCCTGCATGTTTCTACTCTGCTGTAATATTTATAATAATCATTTTATCATTTAAAAAAAGAGAAGTTCTCAAAAAGTAAAATGGATTTGCATACAAAGGAAGGTCTTGGGGGGAAAATATTAAATATTTTTTATTTATTATCCAATGAGCTGCGAGTATGAAAACGTTACTAAATGATGTGCTTATTGCAAGGATTCTTCACTCATTGGAAGGTCTTGGGGGGAAAATATTAAATGTTTTTTATTTATTATCCAATGAGCTGAGAGTATGAAAACTTTACTAAATGATGTGTTTATTGCAAGGATTCTTCCCTCTGCCTGTAGTTCTTTCTTCTCATTAATAAGTCATGTTTGAGTACAGTAAGACAGGGCAGTACTACTTCAGTCTTACTGTGTTAAATCACTGGCTCAGTCCCTGAAGATGTACATTTCTTCAGTCTTTTAGATTAATTGTTGTACCTGTTTTGTTTTACTGTGTAACTTTCACAACTTTTATGGAATTTGAGAGAAGTAAATTAATTGTGTTTTGTCAGTTCATTTTACTCAATAGCCAGGGAATACAAACTGCATTTATAGCACCCTCTGCTGAGGAGGGAGGAAGATTCTACAAAATGTTCGTCGTTCACTGTGGTTCTGCCAAATCATGGATCCTGGCAAAAAAAAAAATCTCCTTCTGTAACTGCTGAAAGTATAGTCTGAAGTAAATGTTTGATTGATTCAGTGTTTCCGGGAGGAAAAACAGAGATAAAGCAAAATATATTGGAGCTCTCCATCCAGAAAATAAGGTCTATTAGACTCTCTGTCTGCCTGCATCTCTGCCTCTCTCTGTCTCTCTCTCTCTCCCTCTTCTTCTCTTTAGTCGTCACGGCTTGGTGATAAAAAAAAATCGAGGCAAGAAGAAGTCACCTCCCTCATCCCAATTTTTCCTTTTTCTTAAAAAACTGATAAACAAATCATAATAAAAATACAAGAGCTGGAACTAAGTGTGTTTGAAGGCCTGGCCGCCTGAATACAGATGATGCACATTTTCTTGAGCAAACAATGAATAGATGTGTGAGATGTGACAGTCGGACGTTTTCAGTGTGCAGGCCCAGAGTCATTTTGTTTTCTTTTTTATCACGTAAAATCTGAATTATTTGTTGGCAGTGTGTGACTGGTTCACTCGAAGTATTTATTTGATTTTTTTTCTGAATGTATCTGGAATTTACACAATCTTTTTACCAGGAGGAAAAATAATAAATCAAATAAAGGGTTGAGACTAATAATCATCATAGATTCACACATTTGGTGAACATTATTAAGAACAGAGACTTTTCTAAATGATCCAGGTCATTTATTATATCATTTCCCTAGTCAGGGTTTTTTTTTTTTTTTTTTTTTTTTCAGCCATCGCTACGTTAGGCCGCAGCCTCCGGTCTATTTATTATTCAGTATGCCATTATTACCATTACAATGCATGATTATGAAATTCAACTCATTATCATCACAATTACCTGCTATAGATTTTTTTTTTTAAACCACCTCCCCTGATCTACATGGTCCGTTGTAATGGTCGAAAGAAAATTAAATAAAATCTGTCTGCGTTCACAGCCTAAATATAATGTTAGTCTTAATATATTTACAGGAATCCACAGCAAACGATAGAATCCACATAAAAAAACATTTTCATTTTGTAAACTTAAAATACTGAAGTCCAAATGACTAGGCAACAAAGATAACAGTCAGTGACCATTATTGATCATCGACTAATCGATTTAGGTATAAAACAATTTCTTAACTTTATGACTCTCAAAAGAGAAAAAACGGAAACGACCTGTGTCACTAAACCAAATACTAAAACCACTTTTATCTAAATATCTAGTTCTGACTTTTTGCCATTTTTTGCCTTTTATATTTTATGTGTTAAGTGTGGAATACAAAAAACAAAGCAGTTTAGGGCCTCGGGATGGACGAGGTCCAGTGTGGAGGATGAATTAACGAACGAACAGCATCACAACGTGTTATATGACAACAGAAAAATCTCTCTCTCTCCCTCTGCCTCTCCCTCTCTCCCTCTCTCTCGCATCCTCACACTCTCTCCCTCTCTCTTTCTTTTTTCTCTCGCCCTCTGTGACATTTTTAGCTGTAATCGTTTTAAACCGTCCCCGGGCTTTGACATATATAACTTTAGTTGCGCTTCGGATCATTGGCTTTGGTAAAACTGCAGGGAAGAGGAACCGTGATTCGTTCTAGCTCCTGAAACGGAGTGTGTGTGTGTGTGTGTGTGTGTGTGTTTCAGTTTTTCCTCTTCCCTCCCGCAGGATAACGCACCATGGGAGCCTCTGTCAGTCACATATAAAGCGCGTTTATTCCGCCATTAAACTGTAGTAAAACATCAAATCTTGATTAAAAGGGTAAAAAATCCACGAATTTATTATTTTTGATCGATAGTTAGGAAACAACATGCTATGAACACATTATACATTTATTATATATATATATATATATTTTAATCCAGGCCTTGGGGATGATTTTATAAAAATTTGAATAAACACTCAGTTCAGGGTTTGTTATATTATCTGTAGTGAAGTGAAACTTGTTGTTTCAGCTAATAATGACTGAAATGTACAAATAGAAACAAAACTATATTATTTTATATTTATTTTTCAATTTCAGGATTAATAGAGACTAAGTTAATTTAATTAAAGGTAGTTCAGGAGTTCTGTGGTTTTTACTCTGAGGTAAACTTATATATATATTGACTAATTTGGGGTTTGGGGTTTTTTGTTGTTTGTTTTGTTTTGCTTTAATTCTGCTGAGTCCCCGAGCACCTGCTTTTCTGAGGTGTCCTTGAACAGCACTGGGGACGGACCTGTGTGTGTCCTCAGAGATG